TTTTAATAAAACAGCTTCGGTTTCTTTTCACTTTAGGCTAATTCAGCAAATTAAGTATTCATTACTATGCGCATAGTCATTAGTGCACTTACTAGACTATGAAATTTCGCAACACACTTTTAATTTTCTGATTTCTCTTTAAATTCTGCTGAATGGAAAAGGATTATAATCAGACTTTGCTACATTACCTTCGACAGTTTTTTTTTGGAGTGATATTTTTTCGTTCTCATTTGCCATTTAGCTTTCGATCATGTATAAAAGGAATGAAATTGCTTTGAGTAGTTTGGATGTTTCCTACATAATTTTTGCTACTGAGGTTTAACTGTTTTTTAAGAGAATTAAAATTTGAAAGTATTTTCTATTTCCGAAATCTTTACCAATTTAATTTTAAATTGGAAATACGATCCTTATATGATTCAATAATACAGCAAATTTGAAGAAAATAATGTGTATATCTTTCTAATAACGATGCATTCAAATAATTTTTCAAATTTTTTAGTTGAATTTATATATTAGATTTTATAAATATCGAAAATAAGCGCGTTTTAAGAGAGCTCACGGCTGAAGTGTGGACACAGAGTGTAATAGTGAAACATTTTTTAGTTAAAAGCTGACCACAGAAAACAATACGTACTACAGTAAATAATTTTTCATTATACTGTAGGGATTTTATTTTATTTCGCTAATAGTTATTTTTGTTTTTGGAACAAGCCTTTCCTTTAACTTCTGATTTTCCACCTATGTTTCCTTGCCAAGAGGAGTTTTCAGTATTACGAGTTATGCAAATAAGGCAGAAACGACTATTGAAGGTAGCTAAGTTCTAAGTTACTTCAGTAAAACAGCGTGTTCTGCCTTTCGACGATGTTGTTGCTATTAGTAAAGTTTGCTGTTCTTACCGTGCTTAACACGTGTCTGCCAGCATACGCCGGTATTCTTAATTAAGCACCACCTTCGCGAGTCTGATTTTGTGCAACATTGCCTGATTAAATTTATCTGGCAATAGTTTGGTTTTATAATTTCTATTTTGAGTTAAAGCCCAAGCGGTTCTTGTACGCCCAAGAAGGACCATCTGTAAATATATTTTGAGTTGGAATAAAACGGTAATTTAACCCATCTCAGGTCACTTATGCAAAAGAAAGCTTACAGTTACTACGCAGTTTTTCAGTATTCTAGGATTTATAGAACTTTGTTTTAGCTAGGATATTATCCGAATAACTGTCGAAACATCTCACTGGACACTGGAAAGTTCTATTTAGTCTCTAGAAGGCTTCAAGTACCACCGGCACCAGTTAATTCCCGCGAACGGGCTGGCTGCATGGGCGTTTTCGTGGTTTTCCCCATGTGTTACGTGTATACGAGTCAGTTTCCCTTAGAAAGTCCTCCACGAAGGCATCCCTCCCCTTAGGCAGATAGCCCTAGTGTGCTTTACCATAATTAAATAAACCAACCAAACCAAACCAACCAGTTAACAAAATGAAAGAGTTAGGATTTATATTTGAGATCACGCAGGTCGTGATGAAACCGGCCGCTACCTTCGATAGGAGAGGTTCCATAATGTCTTTCATAGAGCATTTGGAATTACATTTTATGCTGCATCCTGTTCCAAAGCCGCAAAAAGTAACAATCGCCACTGCAAATCGAAAAGATCAAGCACTAAGCTGGTATAAGCGGATTGGCCAGTTCCTGCTAGGTAAGGCAGAAAGGAAAGCAGATAACTCGGAAACATTTAAAAACGCTCTGCTGAAAACATTCCCAGTAGTAAAGTACGTCTCCAAGCTGGAAGCGGAGCTTTTCAGAAAATACCAGACCAACGTGGCTGAAATTCAAGTTTTATTAAATAAAGTAATTACGACTGTTTTATCAAACACTGGTGAATAATTTAGCTTCCTGTCACAAGATTAAAAAAAAAAAAACTTTTGGATGCATCGTATTTTTAAAACAACGGGCGAGAAAGTAGTCGCCGTCCAGGGTAAGCAGTGCGTATGTCTTCGGAAAGTGGGTCTGCACTTTCAAGTTAATAATGAAGAGCAACGCTTCGCCTTTCTCGAAGCCAAAGATTTGGTAACGCCAGTAATTATAGTTATCGACTTTTTACTCCCGGCAAGCGCAAATTTAAATTCTAAGAATTCCACTTTGCAGGTGCAGATGGAAACCATAGAGGAAGAAGACAGTTCAAGACCCGGAAGTGCAGCTCAGCCATCTGCCGGAAGAAGAAAAGCAGAGAGAAAATTTACAATAAATAAGAGAAAATTTACAATAATAAAATTGCAATCAGCCTACAAACAAGCGATTCTCAAAGCGAAGCTATAGAACTCGAGAAACTTCTGCAAGCAGAACAAAGAGCCTTATCGAATCCTGCATAAAATCGTGACAAACAAAGTTTTCTCTCTTCCACAGAATCAAACATATCCCCAAGGCTCAAATACTGTCAGAAATGAAGCACCATCTTGAAGCAAGTGGCGGCATCTCAGATGCGCAATTTGGATATAGAGCAAAATGCTCGACTACACATGCGCTAAACACCATTAAATGGGAAACTGAATCAGCCAAAGAATCCAGAGTCCACGTGGCAGTTTTAAGTCTGGACCTTAAAAGCGCATTCGACTCTTTATGGTGGCCGGCCATCTTGGAGGCCCTTCGCGACGCACAAATCCCGAACAACCTGCTGCACGTGTGGTTGAGTTATCTAACGAACCGCACCTTCGTGGCAGTGCATGATGAACGCGTCGTCAACAAGAAGCAAGACCAGGGGCTGCCCCCAGGGGTCCCGCGCAGGCGCGGACCACTGGAACGTGGCATTTAATTCAATACTCAATGCAAAGTGGTTGCATTTACGGAACACGCCATATTCGTAGTCCGTGGAAGAACGTGTGATGATCTTCAGTGCAACAACAATGTAACAGTTGAGCTCTGTGAAAAATTTTACCTGTGAAAAGTACCAAGGGCCTTACCATCTCGGACGCTAAGTACCTCGTAATCCACAATCCGGGGCAGACCATCATTTGAAATCCGAAAGTGATAAAACTCAGGGGAACACAATTAATAGAGTAAAAGAAGTGAGGCTTCTGGGTCTGACGATAGATGAGAAACTCACCTGGATCCCGCACCTAAAAGAGGTGAGACTGGAGACTCACGCTATCGCCAAAAATCTAAAGAGGATTCAAGGAGCAGATTGGGGTGTCCGATCGCATATCTGGAAGATCCTGCACTGCACGATAATCGTAAAAATAGCAACCTACGCAGCAGCAGTCTGTGCAACTCCAGGAAACTGAAAGTTCTAAGTAGCATACAAAGACCATATACCTAGAGGGGGCAGAATTATATCGCCGCACACTGAAGAAAAAAGAACAGTAAGACTAGTTTATCCCGCAGAACATGGTAGATGAGTGCATGACAGGACAGGAGAGGACTAACTGTGGGAAGCACCAACACTTTGCTGGTGTTGCAACACATCGCAACACCAGAACTGGTGTCGCTCCTTCACACTAACCATCTTGAGAAGAAAACCTCCATAGGCGCACTTACGCCACGCATCGAAGTTAATTGAGAAATTATCATCAGGGCATACAGAACTTGTGGTACAGAGCATGGCCGGGAGATACAGTTGCTGATGACACATGACAATGGCATTACAATACAATACAATACATTACAGTTGATGGTGAAATATAAATATAAATATAAGTATAGGTACAGAAATAAACACAAATAAACAAATAGAACAGAATGAAAAACATTAAACATTATCATCTTGGTTAAATTATTGTGATATTAATGTGATGTAATTTGAGACAGTGTAATACCATACTTGAGAACTGCATTGTGGGTGTCGTGGGTTTAAGTTGATAGGTTTGAACAGTTCATTGACAGTTCATGAAAAATTCATAGATTCAGTCAGAGTTCATCATTCTCAGTAACTGTTATTTGAATCAAAGTCTATGTAAAGTCTATGTTTGTGAAAGTTCACTGGTAGTTCATAGGGGGTACATAATCCAAGTCACAGTTTACAGCTCGCAGTAACAGTCATTTGATTAAAGTCCAGGAATGAGAAAGTTCATAGTCTCATACACACAGCAGAGTTCACCAGTTCCAATTATGCCATTTTTTGATGTGTATATCTGTAATCGTATTGTCTAGGTGCTAAATCAGTACTGAAGATATTCTATTGCATTGACTATAAAGGCATCCACATTGGAAAATTGGCGTTTGTGCCAGAGAAGGAGAGGCAGAAGCATTTATATGAGTTATGGTGCACACAGTTCCAGGCCGTGACGATGGAGTGTGTCAATTATGTTTTTGATACTGATGTGGACTTTCCAGTGCTTTATCAGGAAGCGTTTGAAGTTTGTTCTGGAGCTGTGGGATGGCGGATATGATGGTCTGCTGTTATTCGGCACTGGAATAAGTAATGGTCTGGATCACCCGGATTGCCACAAACGCACGTTTCAGTCTCCGAAAGGTTTCGTTCATAGAAGTATTTTGGGTACGGTCCATAACCAGAGATATATTGAGAGAGATAATAATTACAAATAGTGCCCTCAGCGTCGACACATGGTAGAAGTGACTGCGTTCTTCGGCCTTTTGGCCTTTAGTCCCATTGTCTCTGCCACTCACCTTTGGCCATCACTTTTAGCGTAAACTTCAGTGCTAAGCGTGGCCATGGGATGTGGATGGTAGTGCCTGACTGTTCGAGGGCTGCCTGTTTTGCCAGGAAGTTCACTCTTTCATTCCCGGCGCAATCGATATGGCCTTTCTTCCATGTAAGAACGAAGTTCCTTTGGCTGGAGTTGATAATTGTTTGTATTTGTTGGGCTATTGGTGAGTTTGTGCAGGGATTTGTAATTGATGATTGGCTGTCACTGACAATATGGACTATCTCCGTTGGTAGTTGATGGATCTCTTGCATACCGTAGAGGATTTCTGTCAGTTCAGCCAAGTGCATGCTGTTTAGATCTCTAAGGTGCCCTTACCATTCTGTGTGTGAGCTAAGGTTGTATTGGATGGTTGCAGCGCTGCCAACTTTTTGCTCGATCTTTGAGCCGTCTGCCGGGAGAGAGGATAATGCAGAAGAAGTATGCATTTATACAGATGGCTCGAAGTCTGACAACCAGGTGGCGTGCAGCTTCATCACCAAAAGGCAAGGGAATACCCTCGCAGCATGGAATGGGAACCTGAAAGCAAACAACTCCGTCTTCCACGCAGAAGCAGCAGCCCTGAAACAAGCGTTGTCTTATGCAGCCGCTAACAGCCAAACTTCTTATCGCATTTACACTGACAACCAATCGACCATCTATGCAATAAGGAATCCTTATCATCCCAGCCCACTTACTGCAGAAATCCAAGCACACCTGAGAGCCAGATCGTCGGCATCTCCACTCCACATCTCCTGTATTAAAGCTCATTTTGGGCACCAAGGAAATGAGAAGGCGGACTTACTTGCAAAGGAGGCGGGGCCGAACCTAGATGCGCAGCAAATATAGGTGCTATACCACAAGAGCAATATTAAAAGGACAACGTGGAAGGTCGCGAACGACGCACGCTCCGCTTTTTGGGGAACGGGTTGAGCCTCCAGACCGACGAGAATTGAAAAAGAAAGTTTGTTTTTTGAGAACTGGGAACGATAAGTGTATGCTTTTAGAACAGTGACACAGTAGACTAATGACGCTGTTAGATATGTAGAACAATGATGCTAAGTAGTTAGATGTGTTTTTTGATAGTGTAATGATTTAGATATTGTTCAACTTTGTGTCAAACGTCAAATAAAGTGATTCATACAAAATAGTGCCAATTTTAGATGAGTTTGGACCAAATCGGAGTCTACTAAAGCGGCGGACCAGAATCGAAGAAAGCGGATCATAAAGGTAAGCAATCTTTGTTTATTTGCTTATCTAGAAATTTGAATGATCTGTTTTTTACTGAATTGAAACGATATAAATTTTTTGGCGCCCGAACAGGGACCGCCGATGTAGACTATCTTGAAGTGAAAGATTTAGGAATGTTTAAAAAATATCTCCTTTTGATTTGAGAAGTTTATTTATGATTTGAGAATACTGATTTTTAATTTGAAATATTTTCTGTCTGAAATATTTAAACATGTCTACTAAAATAGAAGAATTAAAGAAAAGACGAACTGTAGTTAGGAGTATGACAACAAAGTTGATAAATAATTGTAAAGAATACCTCCAAGAAACAGAACACGATTTGTGTATTCTTAATGAAAATATTGATTTATTAGATTCAAAATATAACAGCCTAAAAGAATTAGATAAACAAATACAAGAATTAATTGAGGCTACTGAATATGAATCGGAATTTGAAACTTGTGAAGTTTATTCCGAGAAAATAATTTCCATGAAATCAAAACTAACATTTATGTTAAAAGAGAATAGGAAACCTGAAATTCCTGTTTCGAATACAATTGGTAATATTGTGAATAATGATATTTCAAATATTTCTGTATCTCATTCAAAAATTAAATTGCCTAAATTATCGATCAATAAACTTAATGGCGATCCTGTTAATTGGTTATCATTTTGGAACCAGTTTGATAATGCGATACATCAGAATAGTGATTTAACAGATACAGACAAATTTAATTATTTGATATCATTTTTATCAGGTGCTGCTTGTAATGCTGTTAGTGGTTTTGCATTATCAAGTGAAAATTATTTTGCCGCAATCGAGTTACTTAAAACACGCTTTGGTCGAACAGATTTAATTATAAATGCACATATGGGAACACTGTTAAATTTAGAACCTGTTAGGAATGCTAACAACATATTTGCATTACGTAAGTTGCATGATGATATCGAAATACAGATAAGAAGTTTAAAATCACTTAATGTAACTTCTGGCACATATGGCACGTTATTGACACCAGTTTTATTAAAATTAATTCCGAATGAACTGAATCTTGATTTCCAAAGAAAAAGGAAATCGAAAGATAATTTCGATGTAAACGAATTATTAGAGTTCTTGAAAACGGAAATTGAGTGCCGCGAATCCATGCTACAAATTCAAGATAAAATAAACAACCATAATTCGAGCCACTTTTCCTAAAGAAAAAAGAATAAATAAAATTTCTATTCCAACGGCTGCTGTGTTAAAGGTTTCAATTAACAGCTGCATATTTTGCGAGGATTCAGAAAAAAGAAAAACATACTTCCGAAGCTTGCCCGAAGTCTGTAACAGACAGAAAGGCGTCACTTCGGAAACTCGGAATGTGTTATTTATGCCTTAAAAGGGGTAACCATTTGGCAAAAAATTGCTTTTCGAAGATAAAGTGTGATTCATGTGGGTGGAAACACAATAGTGACAGTTTAATCTGTGTGACAGAAATAGGTTTAGATGAGAAAAAATCAAATAAGAAGGATCTCAATTTGACGAACAAATCATGTTTAGAGAAAGTTTTATTACAAACTTTAGTTGTAAGAGTGCGTGGCAATGGTCCAGAAAAATACTGCCGCTGTTTAATTGATTCTGGGAGTCAACGAAGCTATGTATCTAAATTCTTAGCTAATGCTATGCAGTACGAATGTATTAACGAAAGCAGTGTGATTCATAGTCTGTTCGGAGGAACTGAAGTGGTTGAAACTCATAAACAGTTCGTTGTACGTTTAAGTAGTATCAAAAACGATTATCAGTGTAACTTCAAAGCTTTTGATCAGCGAATATTTGTTCTGATATTCCACAATTGAACATCAAGCCTTATTTAAATGAGTTAAAAAAACCCATAACATATTTTTGAATGATGTTGAAGGTAGGCATAAAAAAATTGTTGTTCGAGCATTCTCCTTCTGAAATTCATATCCTCATAGGCGCAGACATAGCGGGAAAATTGCTTACAGGGAAAATAAAGAAGTTAGAATGTGGATTAGTTTGCATTGAAACTTATTTAGGCTGGAGTATCATGGGGAAAATTCCCGTAGAAATGGAAAATAAATATGATTGTTCTTATGCATTTTCTATGTTAGTATCAGATAGTAAAATTTCTGATTTATGGAAACTTGATACTCTTGGGATATTAGACCCTTCAGAAAGTCAAACTAAAAGGGAATTAGAAAAACAAAAAAACAATGACACATTTTCTTTCCAATGTGAAAAGAGATGAAGAAGGAAGGTTTCAAGTTTGTTTACCTTGGATTGAAAATCGTTCCCTACTTCCAAACTATCGAGGAAATAGCAGAAAAGAGATTAAAGAGCACAGTGAAGAATTTAAGGGATGGGGGGATTTTTAGAAGATTATAACGCAATTTTTAAATCTTGGGAAGATGATAAAATAATAGAGATTGTTCCTGAGGAAGAAGTTAATAACCCCTCTCATTATTTACCCCATCGTGCTGTTATTCGAATGAATTCCACCACGACAAAAATAAGACCGGTTTTCGATGGATCCGTAAGAACTAAAGGATCACCCTCCGTAAATGACTGTTTGGAAAAGGGTCCAAATTTGATTGATACTGTTCCAGCTATAATAAATAGATTTCGACTGGGAAAAATTGGCGTGAGCGCTGATATTAAGAAGGCTTTCCTGCAGATAGCACTTAATCCTAAAGACAGAGATTATTTAAGATTTTTATGGTGGGAACAGGGAAATTCTGAGCGTTTGAAAATATACAGGCATAGAAGAGTGGTCTTTGGAATAACCAGCAGTCCATTTCTCTTAAATGCAACACTAACGAAATTAATGAATGAAGTACCAGAAAATTATCGTGCGAGTGCTAATAAATTAGTAGAATCCTGGTACGTTGATAATTTAGTTACAAGTGTGAATGATGAATCAGAATTAAAGAAGTTAAAAAATGATGCCACTGAAATTTTGGCAAGTGCTAAATTTGAATTACAAGAGTGGGCATATAACTATCCTCGAAATAAAAAGGGATGCATTTGTTGTTGAACCCATTTTAGAACAGTCGAAGCTTGATAAATTAAATGAGAATGAGTTTTTCGATGATCCTTGTGAAGCTAAAACGGTCAACATTTTGGGACTTCTTTGGAATTTGCATGATGAGACATTAAGTTGTGATATTAAGGGATTAAATGAATCAAAAAACAAACCTGTTACTAAAAGAACAATTTTGTCTGAAATTCATAAAATTTATGACCCTATTGGATTCACCTGCCCTATAATTTTAATTCCTAAAATTCTGTTACAAAACTGCTGGGAATTAAAAGTAACTTGGGATGAAGCTCTTCCTGAAGAAATTCAAAGGAAATGGAAAAATGATGCAAATCGTTTAACAGAAATAAAAATTCCTCGACAGATGATGCTTAATATTGATTCTGAATTGAAATTATCCTTTCATATATTTTGTGATGCATCCCGAATGGCATATGCAACCTGCGTTTATTTAAGAAATGAAAATGAAAATAAAGTTTCGTGTCATTTAGTTCAAGCACGATCTAGAGTTGCTCCTCTAAAACCCACATCAATTTGTAGACTAGAATTATTAGCTTGTGTTGTTGGTGCAAGATTAATGAAATCTATAAAACAAGATTTGAAGGAAGAAAATATACCTACGTTTTATTGGACAGATTCAAGGAACACATTGTACTGGATTAAGAATGAAGAAAATTGGGGTGTATTTGTTATGAATAGAGTGAAAGAAATACGAGCTCTTACTAATCCTGATGCATGGAATTATGTTCCTGGCAACTTGAATCCTGCGGATATTCCGTCAAGAGGATGTTCTGTTGAAACTATTAAAGCCAAAAGATGGCATGAAGGTCCAGCATGGTTGAAGCTTGAATCCAGACTGTTGGCCTACTTGTGATATTTCTCCTGACAAAGATATGATTGATCGAGAAAGAAGAAAAACAGTTGTATCCTCGTTAACAAATGTAGATGAAGAATTTTCGCATTTCTCACGAATTTCTTCTTTTGAGAAAAAAATAATTAGAGTTACAGCCTTGGATAAAAAGGTATATTGATAACTGCAGAGATAAAAACAGAACAACGTCAAAGAACTTAGAAATCGAAGAATTGAATGCAGCTGAAGTCCTTGTTTGGAAAATTGTGCAAAGGGTCTCCTTTAAAACAGAAAAGGATAAACGCTTACGAAATTTAAAACCATTTGTTGATTCATCTGGTCTTTTAAGAGTAAAGTCAAGAATATTAATGAGACAAGACTTCGAAAATTTTAGAACACCTGTAATCCTACCTCCTGAACATCCAGTTGTCTCTAAACTGATTATGGAAAAACATGAACAACAAATGCATTGCGGAACTCAGACTTTAATGGCAATGCTACGAGAAAATTTCTGGATTTTGAAAAGTCGTAAAACTATTCGTAAAGTGTTGAAAAACTGCACTAAATGTAGAAGATTTGATTCGAGGCCCTCCACGGTACAATCCGCACCTTTGCCAAAGGACCGTGTTAAAGATTCTTCTATTTTTGAAGTGACAGGTATCGACTTAGCTGGCCCTTTGTTTTTAAAAAAATGGATCGAAATCGTGGATCGTTTTATTTACATGGGCTGT